CTAACATCTATTCTATGCTATGTAGGCAAGAGGGAGAGAAAGCGTTTGATCTTTTCCCCCACTCTGTACTCAACGTGATTGTTTTTGGCCATCTCATTGGCCTTAGCGCTTTAAAAGATTCCTAGCAGATAATATTTCCTAATATGAGAGAAGCAAATGATTAGCAATAACCCCATAAATAGCCAACGCTCACGTACACTTTGAAGCTAAAACACCGTCATGAATCAATGCATGTTCTGCCGGAAAAAAACTTAGGAAACAACTACTGAGATTTACAATGCATGTTCGCGATTTTCGCACGCATACTATTACGGACAACTCTTTTATCTCCAAGACATCTCGCATAATGCGATTCTGCGCGAGAAGTGAAAGGCTTTTAGCCTTCAGCCCCTCTCTCAGAAGAAAAGCGGGAAAAAAAAACCACGCCCCAACGCAGGTGAATGACAAAAGCAGCTAGCTAGCTGCAAAGCAAGCAGCGCAACGACCCCAATCTCTGCGTTCGCACACAGCAGCAGCTGTGCTGTTTCTTCTTTAATCGATTCCGTCACAGTATCAATGAGGGCCCTTGGATGCGCCCCATCATAGGGACAGCAGCATCCCAAGGCTTCACAGGGGGCTATAAAGATATCAACCGAGGCCTTTGAATTCCTTTGCTTTTCTTTCTCTGTGCTCCCCCCCTCATCTTCCTCCTTTCCAAAAGCGTGCAGAGATTTCCTTGCCTTGCTTAGGGGTTCCCTCCGAGTCAAATACGGCAGAGCTTTTTTTTTCTTCCCCTGCTGCAAGCCAAACAAAGTAAAAAAAAAAAAGCCAAAACAGTACCCATCACTTTTATCTTTCTGGTAAATTATGAGAAAGGGTAAATTCACAAAACTATCAAAAAAAAAAAATGCCTTGTAGCTCAATGAAAATACCTGAAAGTTCATGGTTGTTATCTCGGAATGAAGTAAATTTCACAGTAGATTAGTGATTTTATCTGCAGGTTCACAGTAGGTTAGTGGAACATAAAACAAAATTTATGATATTTAATTCTTTTGTAGTTTCTTGGTAGTACGTAGTATTTTTCTGTTGATTTTAATGCTAAAAGATAGTGTGGTGTTTTTGAGTGACATTTCTAATAGTTCATGGTAGTTTTGTGACATCTACCCTATAAAAACCTAATCTCAAAA